CTAATTAATTTGAAAATAAAATAAAATTTTATTTAAACAAATTAATTCCACACAGAAAAATATTTCTGTAACACTCCAAAAATTAAAATACTGAAAATAGAATTTTAATTAATGAAAACTCAGAAAATTATTTTAAAAACCAAAATTAATTTCTGACCAACTTCATAAATAAATATTCTGAATTGTTAATGACTACCAGTATATTACTACAAGTTGTCAAAGAAAATAAACAATATATTACTACTATTTTTCAAATAGTATATTACTACTATTTATTTTTCCAACCAGAATATTATTTTGTAAAACCATAGAAAATAACTTCTGTAAGAAGGAGAAAAGAAGAAAGGAAAGAAAACAAAAAATTATGTTTAAGTAGAATAATTCGGATCTGTCTTAAGATTGTTGAAACAATCTTCTGTGTAAAAAAAATAACTTGAAACAAATCAAACAAATAAAAATAAATTACTTACAAAATTCATTTTACCGAACAGAATAAATATTTAAAAGATCAAGTCGAGTGTGTGACACACTGTCCTTAAGACAAATTCGCTCCGTTACGGTGCTAATGGATAAATGGCGTCTATCTCTCAAGATACAATGATCTTCACAAATTGTATTAACACTAAAATCAATCTGTTTCGACGAACTAGAATCTGTGTTTTATACTCTCAAATATTTTTCTAAAAACTAGAATAAAGAATAATGCAAAGAGAGAGCAAAATTGGGAAGACAAATAATTTTTTTGGATGTGAAAAACTTATGGAAATGATCTCTATTTATAGGAAAATTGGTGATCATTGGACAGATCCGAACATGTATGATTCAAACCGAATAGGTATGTTTTTGAAATGAACAAATCTGGTTCAAACTGAACAAGTATGAACTATTTGAACCTGCTGGAATTTAATCTGTTCGCTGGACTGTTTGAACATGTTGAAATGGACCCGGAAAAGGAATTGTATGGATAGAAAATTAAATTCAAATTTTGGCACAAAATTTGAATTAATTTTGTTCAGAAAAAATAAATTTCCCGCAATAAATTTTTTTTTTGGAAAAAATTCAAATAAATTTTGTCTAAAAAATTAATATTAAATCTGACCCGACCTACAACCAACGGACGACGACGGTGCGCACGTGTGGTGGTTTGAGCCAAGGTTTACTTTGTCCATAATTCCTCCTTTTTACAAACTTGGTGTGCCCTTTGGAGCCCAACTCAAGTGTTGTCACCTAAAACTTATATACACACTTAAGTTCTCTTAAGTTTCTAATGTGGAATAACCATTGCAAGGAAACTCACATTTTACTTCTTTAATTGTTCATTCCACGAACTTGAACACGACATCAACTTTCTGTTCATTCATAAATAGTTTTGATGTACTGTCTTCCCCATATGACTTGCCATGCGACAAGATATACGTCACCTCTTTATACCCATCCCAAAAGAAGTATGGGTCCCACTCAAATTAAGCTCAAAATTAGTCTAAAATAAGCCTATAAAATCATTATTTCCAACATGTAAATGGCATTAAGTCTACTGATTGATTTGTTTTCGTTTTAAAAACATGATTAATAAAATATTTGGTAAGAAATACTAATAAATGTTTTAAAAAAAAAATTATTTCTATCCTTATATTTTTTTTGATATTTACTTTTTCTCTCTATTCTTAAACACTAATATCAATAGCAGTCGTTGACAAGTGCAGATGATGACGATGATGTTGAATAGATAGGTATACACATAATAAATAGACATATAGGTGAGTGGGGATAATATAGGCTCTGTTTTGTAAGATTTTTTAATTATGATTTGATAATATAAGTTGTATTTTGAGTTTGTGTATTTTGAAATTATGATTTGAGTATAGAAAATTTATTTAGTTATGATTTTTGAATAGAGTGTTGAATTGAATTTTGAATTAAGTGGGGAATTGAGTTTTGAAAGTTTGATTTGACATATGAAGTAAGAAAATTTATTTAGTTATGAATTTTGGAAAAAAAATTTAAAACTTAATTGATATTGTTATAACTCATAACAAAGCATACTACTTTCACACAATTGAAAATTCTGATCAACACTCATAACTAAACTCTTTTTAAAATTCAATTAAAAAAATTATTACTAACAGAAAATAACATTAATCAATTTTTTAATTAAAAATACTACAAAGGAAATAATTTTTTTTCAAAATAAATATTCAAAAAATTTAAATCATAAATATTTAAATAATTTAAATAATCTAAAAAATTTAATAAGTAAAAAATTAAAATAAATATTCAAAAAAATTAAATATAATGATAATTATATTTTTTTTAGTGGATAAAGGGTGTAAAGAGATTAAATAGTGGTGTAAGTAGAATCACCCCAAAACAAATTCAATACTCCATTAAGTCCTCAACATGCTACTTTCACAACTCTACACTCAAATCGTAACCAAATACATAACAAAAAAATTAAAATATTTAAAAATATTTTTATAAAATAGAGTTTGAATTTATTTTTATAAAATATTTTAAAATTTAAAAAATTAAAATCGTAATATTTAAAAAATTAAGAAATTAAAAAAATTGTAACATATTTAAATATTAAAATATTAAAAAAATTAAAATATTGATTTGAATTGAGTTTTGAAAAGAGTTATGAATTATGTATTTAGTTATGAGTTTTGAAAAGTAATGATTATATTTTGAATTGAGTTTTAAGAAATGAGTGTAGAATTATGATTTTAAAGCTCAAAACAAGCACCACACGCAAATCAATGGGTGGAACTATAATTTGAGAGGCTTACCAAACGGAGCCAAACAAAGTCTTTCAAATTGAAGTTGGAATTGATTTTCCAAAAATTAAAAAGCCTAATTGAAGCCTATAATGATTTATTTCGTAAAAGCTTATTATCAATAACATAACAATAAGATTTATCTTAAAATAATACTACAATAAGCTCATGAAATTCATTTACCTTGTTAATTAGTCAGGTTATTCATGTGTTTTTAGCAGAGAGTGGAGGTTATTTAGGGAAAATTGAACAACTGTGTAACAAACAAACAAACAAATGAAACAAAAATGTCTAACATCACAGGGCTGGTGACAGGTTGATGAAACACTCTCTCAAAGCTGCCTTTGACCTTGTCAAAAGTCCTCTCTTTCTCTCCAAACCAGTCTCTTTCTCTCTCTAAATCACTCTTTCTCATAAATGAATGGTTGTCCATGGAACAGCCATTTTATTAATGGATTTATTCAACAAAACAAATCAAAAAAATATAAATATAAATATAAATAAATAAACTCTTAAATGCTTGTAACCTCTACCCAGAACTCCAGGACTAGTCGCTAAACACAATTGTGTCATGAGTATGAAGACCCATCCCAATCTTTAAAAGCTTGTAACTTTTAATCAGAATTAAAAAAAGAAAAAGAAAAAGAAAATTAAGTTATTCAGCAGTTAAAGAACACAATCATAACTTAAGTATGTGGTGTTTTGATCTATAAGGTTGCATGAGAAAGACAAACAGAATAGGCTTTTTTGGCTATTTTAGTCAAAAAAAAATAAAATAGGCTATTTTAGCCATAACAAACAAAACATCACATCCAACCTATAATCATTACATTCTTCTCTCACAAAAAAAGTCAAAAAAGCCAAAAAGCCCTTCCCAAACCAAACTTTTTAGCCCAGGTTAAAATAGCCAAAAAAGCCAAAAAACTAAAAAGCCAACCTACTTCCCAAACCAAGCCTAAATTAGTCGATTAAAATAGATTAGGTCAGTTATATTTATGGGTTGTGCTGTGTATTGTCCACCTATATGATATGTATGAGTGGTATGTTAGCCTTAAACTTGAAAATCCTTAATTACCTTATAATTTACAAAAATATAATGTTACCGATTAAAAAAAAAAATTACAAAATAGGTAAGAGTAAGTCACTCTTTATCTCCCACTAACCTAGCCATATAGCCTTATTATCCTAATGTTAAATTTCTGATTAATAAGTGATACCGCATAATATCATCATTATACATAATTTTTACTCTGGACTGATGTCCCTAGATTTTGTTCTCTATTGATTTCTTATCTTATTTTTTAACAAGATTTTGTATTTGTACCCTTATAGCCATATAGTCTTATTATCCTAATCTTGTTTTGCCTTTTGGCCTCCATCTTACCCAAAAAATATATATATCTTAAAAAGGATTTCTCGAACTGCTCTATCTATCACGTGACTACTATTTTATTAATTATTTATTAATTATAAAATAAAAAAATTCTAAATATATATATATATATATAATTTATAAAAATAAAAAAAGTCTGAATATACTGAATTGGTGGTTCAGGATTACCGAATAATTAATCTCAAAGGCTGCTGTCTTACAAGTGCTAGTGATTAATTTAATTGACTTATATATGATTTTTTATTTCGGGGAAAAGATGGGCTGTTGGGTTTGGGTCTACCAATGGGGAAAGGATTGTTGGCCCACTTCATCACTAGGAAAAATAGTAGAGAAGAAAATCAATTTCACACGAAATCCACCACCATTCTTTCTTCATATAAAATTCACACTAGTGTGTATGTTTATATGGAAACCCTCATAACCTATTTCTATGTAAAATTCAAACTTCTTTTTTTTTTCTACATCAATTAATAAGAAAAATTGATGTAAAAATAAATTGTGAAATTTATTAATTTGTATAAATTATGCTCTCTGGATATTTCAAGATATATTTTCAAATATCTTTTTAGAGTGTCTAGCTTTTCTATATTTTGACGGCCCAAAAACACTGGTACAGAGGGCTGGCCCATTCATTAGGGCAGCAAGGTGTGTTAACCCATGAACCCAATTCGTTGAAAGCTCCAAATAGATCCGCCCCCTAGGGAAAAAAACAGCCAATTCCTCCATGTTTTCAGAAACATTTTTCAAATTGAATTTAATAAAGACAAAAAATTTAACTATTAAGACTTATTGATGGTTTACTTTAAATAAATTTAGGATAGATCTTCGCCTGATTTACGATACATAAAAATGGCTCCAACACAAGAAGAATGATAAACTAGTCTCCATATCCAACAGAACAGAAACAAATATACAGAAAGTGCAGGATATTACACTTCAAGGTTTCATTTAGACATGGTAAATGTGCATGCCCACCCTTACAAGCATTGTCATCTACTTAATCCCGGAACTAGAGATCTTGACGATCTAGAATACCGTTCAAGAAGCGACAAGACACTAGCTGCCTTCCTTTGAAGATGCCCACCCTCGTTAACACTGCAACCGGTGATCTGAACAAGACTTAACCTTGCTACTGATCCATAAAACTCCACCATTTCCCTCGAGAGAAAAACTTTCTCCAACAGCTTCAAAGCCTCTTCCCTTAAAGACTCCGTTCCCCAATTCAATACCTCCAATACGAGTTGAATGGCATTGGCTTGATGAAGTACATTAGCCCCTCTCTGAGGAAAATCTTCTCCAACCAGAGTTGAAAGTGCCTGGATTACTTCATAAGCCGTTGCATGAACCTTCTCTTGTAAGAGATTGACCAATTTAGGCAACACTTTTGCCTCCAACATGCAAAAGGTAGTAGCTATACTGCAAGGACCCCCATGGGCTAAGCATATACGATCACGTGCACGGCAGAAACAACAGCAGCCAAATTTTTTGGTTACAACAGTAAGTTTAGGAGTACTTGTAGAAAGATTGCCAATGAGAGCAGCTGCTCTTGCCTTAGCTGTTATTGAACCATCCTCAAGAAATTTCACAAGCAAAGGGTATGCTCCTAGTTCAACCACAATTCGCTGTGACTCAAGATTTGTGGGATCTGTAAACCTAAAGAGAGCACTTAGTGCATTTTCTTTTGCTTCCATGGTCCCGGATCTTAAGATTTTTAGGATTACATTCAGGCCATCTGATTCAATCAATTTCTTTGTGAGTAATTCTTCTGATTTTGGAAGATTGGCTAGTAAACCAGCTGCAGCCTTTTGTACATCACTGTTACTGTTGCGTTCGAGAAAATCCACTAACGCCTCGAGCCTTCTTGGTTTGAGAAGGTACTCCACAACTCCTAGTGGCTCATGTTGTGAGAAGAGGAAGAGAAGATTGATGGCAACTTCACGGATTTGAAGATTAGAGTCATCAAGAAGAGGAAGAACTAGAGAAACACCATCTGCAGAAAGAACTGCTGTCTTAACAAGCCCAGCTTCCGATTGACAAATCCCAAGAAGGGCACGCAGAGCAGGCCTCCGAACAATGTAGGACGAGTTGGGATTCTGCTGAAAAGCTAGTAAGTTGACGATGGTTGGCTCTAATTCAAGTTGGTTCCCATTTTCATCGACAAAGAATTTAGTTCCATCACCATTGGAAGCAAGTTTTTCAAGGACTTCTAAACATTTTGCAATTATGATTGTGCGGAGACGGAAAGAAAACATCAATTTCAGAAGAAGAGGAACCCCGCCTGCAGCAGCAATGCGCCTTTTGTTTTCTTGGCAACCCGATAGCTTAACCAGCATTGATAAAGACAATTCCTTTGATTCGACATCGCCAGATGACATTTCAAGCAAAAAAGGTATAAGTCCTGCCTCACCAAGTACATCTATATTCCTTTCAACCAGTTCCATACTAACAAGTGCTCTCACCATGGATATCCTTGATGACTCTGGCCCTGAAGAGTATAAAAATGATGTAATATACATTGGTGTGTTTGATTGGGGGATAAGGGGGGATTATTTACTGTGTGGATTGTAATCCGTATAGTAAATTCAATCCGATGTTTGTTTTTTTTTTAGTCCGCCGGACATGGAGTCCGGCCGGACTCCTTATCCCCCATATGGGGGATTATACTATCCTGGGGGAGTGTAGGATAATTTTGGAGGGATTATTTACCATTGGGATTAGGTAGTGAAATGATCATTTTGACCCTCTACTATTTAATTATGTATTATATTTAGTAAAATTCAATAAAATTTAAATGTCTCAATTTAAAAATAAAATAATTTTATTTAACTTTTTATTGATGTTTTATTTATTTTTTTAAAAATAATTTTTTATAGATATTTTATTGATGTTTTATTTTAAAATTTTGTTTATATTTTATTTAATTTCATTATTTAAATGTTAATAGATGTTTTATTTAATTTCATTATTTAATTATTATTATTTTTAAAAACAAATTTATTTAAAATTTTAATTAAAAAATAACATATATTTTTATTGATATTTTATTGATATTTTATTTATTTAATTTTTTTTAAAAAAAATTATTTAATTGTGTAAAAAATAAAATAAAATAAATTTTTATTGGGTAAAACCCTCCGGATCTTCCATCTTTATGCTCATCACGTTCTGCATCACAATCAATCACAATATGCACAAAAATACACAATAGGCAAAATTCAAAATCGTTAGCATTAGCAGAGTACATTTAATGTTGCTATCAATCCTTTCGTTTGCATGCAAAATATTATGCATGATGCCTAAGTCTTTTCTAGACATCCGAAAGCTCAATGGATCCATGTGTGAGATAGCAACTCGTGCTCTGATACCACTTGTCATAACCACAACTCGCCCCTAAAAGTTTGGGCATGACCACTTCAGTAACGGACACTTAACCTGTTATATATATATCATATGGGGCCTGGACAGAAGCATTAAATATCAAAATTTGACAATAGAAACAAACTCCATTGAGCTAATTATTTAATTATGTATTATATTTAGTAAAATTCAATAAAATTTAAATGTCTCAATTTAAAAATAAAATAATTTTATTTAACTTTTTATTGATGTTTTATTTATTTAATTTTTTTAAAATAATTTTTTATAGATATTTTGTTGATGTTTTATTTTAAAATTTTATTTATATTTTATTTAATTTCATTATTTAAATGTTAATAGATGTTTTATTTAATTTCATTGTTTAATTATTATTATTTTTAAAAACAAATTTATTTAAAATTTTAATTAAAAAATAACATATATTTTTATTGATATTTTATTTATTTTATTTATTTAATTTAAAAATAAATAAATTTACTTAATTGTGTAAAAAATAAAATAAAATAAATTTTTGTTTAATCTAGCTAAAAATAATTAAAATATTAAAGATATGTTTAATATTGCTATTATTTAGTAAATAATTGAAAAAGAGTAAAATAGTCATTTGTTCATTTATTCTATCTAGTCTGTTCAACCAAACGTTAGATTCACTACATCTAATTCCATGAAAAAACAAACACAGGATACATATCTAATCCAACCAAATAGTCCGAGAAATTCACAGTCTCAGGACTCAAGTCCGATAGATTCTAATCCCCTTATCCAGTCCATCCAATCAAACACACCCTTAGGCCATGTTTGATTCACAACACTAATAGTGAGGTATTAATAATCCTATTAAATTAGTGTGGTATTAGTTATCCCACCCCTACCCCATTACTAATAATCCTACAAATTTGTTGGATTAATTATCCATTGGATTAATAATCCTAAACTAAAATGTCAAAACAAACATAGGATGATTGGGCCCACGGATTAATAATCCCAATCCTATGCTTTAATCCTTCTAATCAAACATGCCATTAGTGTACACTCACAAGCAGCCAAGGTAACTTGATAAGGTGAAGCTATGAGCATGACTGGAGGGTCTATCAAGGAACCATGCTAGTGTACATAGATTATGAAATGAGTCAATGCTATGTAACCATGGTCTGTTCCCCAATTTTTCTCTTCAACTAATGTGTCCATATCTTCAAATATAATGGTAAACAATATTCCATGATGCAATTTCAGTGTGCCTTGTTCCATCATTTTCTTTCTTGAGATTTTTATTGCTCCCTGTTGGACACATAATGCCACTCCCTACAACTACTCTAAAAATAGGCCTGTCCTAAAAATAGGCCTGTGGGGCGTGATGTTGAATGCCGTTAAAGACATAAGTGAAGCCCACCCTAACACCAATTGGTTTTAGGAGAGATGGTGGAACTCAGTTCAATACTCTAATTTTCTCCTTTTGTTGGAACGACTATAGTAATATGCATGAGTATTCTTCTCATAATATAAAATTTAAAGTTACAGTGCTCCTAATCTTGAACATGATCAATAAGCTGTTTATATGCAGTAGATTGTCTAAAACACTCGAAGAGATAGATTTTCTAACCTTGCATTATGCAACCAATAAGTGGTTTATACCAGTCAGCCTCAGCGGCACGAATGATGTTCTCCTCATCTTCATCACAAAGCTTCATCAATATTTCTTCAGCTTTCTCTGTTGAATCCCTGACTGGCCCTTTAAGAAAGCAAACAAGGAAATGGATTGCACTATGTTGCTGACAAAGTTTCCTTAAAACAGATCCATTCCAACCAGATCTGTCTTGCAATAACTCATATAGCAACTCAACCGCCGCATTTGATATGCTCGAGTCAGCTCCTATGCATGGAATGATGTGATCAAACCCTTGGGACTCAACCACTTTATCCTACAAAATTTCATTTCAAATGTAGGGTTGGGAATAATGTGAAGCAAATATGTATGTACTTACGTCTAGGTATCGACGCAAATATGGTAAAGATAGTAAGGTTTGACTAAACACCAAAAAGGGTTATCATAATTTTAGCAAATTCACATATAGAACTACAATCAGAGAGCTAGAAATACCTTATTTCTTGGATTCCCTTCTACGATATTTTTCAAAGTAATCAATATCTTTTCTTTCACGTCTGTATTCTGAAAGCTTCCAAGGATTGTGATAATAATATCAGTAAGGCCTCCGATGGAAATCCAGTCCTTGTTGATAGAATTCTCACTTATAAGTTCCTTGATTTGGTCTAGAGTCTCTACAACAGAACAATCCATGCCCAATAGCAGTTTTGTCTTGCAAGATCTAATTTTGATGCAGTAATTGAGTTCTTTCCATTCTTGAATTGATTGTCTCAGTTGAAGATTGGACCTATAAGAAAAATCTTCGAGCGAATCCCCCGTTTCTGGATCAGTTTTCTCTCCGCGCTCAAACCAAGCTTCAAGGGCTGTTCTCTCGCAAGCAGTACCGGTGCATAGGCTGACCGGATCAACCATCACCGTTCCAGTTATACAACAAATGAAAGGTTTAAATGGCATAATATACTCTTCTTTCGGATCATATCGCTCTATGACCTGAAGTCTTTGGAAGTATTGATTCGTGATTTCCTCGTAATCTCTTGCAGCATCAGCCCTCGAAAGCAGCTCAATAATCTGCTCCAAGAACAAAACTTCAGCCCTTTCTTTCCTGTAGGCAGCCTCTTCTTTCTCTCTCCTGAAGCTGTCGAGCTCTTTGCTTATCTCTGAGTGCTCCACCGGTACCCCAACCGCCCTTGCTATTTCTTTGAGCATGTCATTAGCAAAACTGTGGTCAAGTTTCTGATCTGTCAAGCCCTGGTTCAACTTGTCAACAATTTGAAGTTGTGATTGAGAAGCTTCAAATTCTGCTCTTTGCATCTCATTCTGTAGCCTATTCACCTGTTCTGATATCCCTGAAAGAACTTCGGTGTTTGCTAGGGATAACGTATTTAAAGACTTCCCAATATCCCTTGTGACATCTTGTACCTCCTTCACAATGTGTCTACACTTGACTAACAAGTAGAAACGAGCTCGGTTTTTGTACTTGTCGACAAGATTATTAGCCCTCTTGACATCGGCTTCGAGGAACGCCAAAGCTTGCCTTGCAGCTTGTGAATCGTTCAGCTTTTGAAGCTGCAATTCCTTCAAGACTCGCTCAATGTCAAAAAGATGCTTTGAGAGGACCTTGAAACTCTCCTTTTCAAAAACAACATCCTTTGCAGCTTCAGCTGTTTTAATGACCTGGCTTGTGAGCAAAGTTAAGACGGTTCCGATTGGTATGAATTGCATTATGACAGACACAATTTTATGCAAATGCCCTATTTAAACCGGAGAGGGCGGTTCATGTCCATGACCTAGAAATTGAAGCTTTCAAACCATAATGCATCCTCTTCGTACTTTGGCATTGTTCCTCTTTTTTTATCAGCCTAACCACCTAATTGATGCACAACAATTCAGAAAAAGTCTTAACACATGAAAGTAATGTTGAACCATGATTAGTAGTCAAAATAAAGAAGCTTATACCCACTAAGAAGTCAGATAAAACTACAATATCAAGCAATGATCTAAAATATCGTGTTTTTTTCATCACTTTATGCACAAAGCTAAGAGGAAAAAGGAGGGAGGAGGGGACATAGGCTCCATAAGCCCACAGATGCAATTCAGAATTGGCTAGGGCAGAACCAGAAGGTGGAGAAATAGACCATAAATATAAATACCATGAAACTTCTTCCTTTTATTATGAAGTTGAAAATTGAATCACAATCAAGATCCAATCCCCTTAGACTCTGAATTACTACCTAAATAAATAGTTTAGTAACTTGGGGGAGGGGAAGAAGAATGTTAATAATCTGTTTGGATGGATAGATTACAAATGGAGGGATTTGATGTGAATTCTTATAAAATATTGGAGATGAAACCATTATAGGTGGATTGATAAACTAAAGGGAAAACATAAATTAGAGTAGAAGCACATTATTGAAAACCTTGTAGAACGAAAATGGGCAAGAAAATCCCTTGATATTTATTCCTTCGAATGATCTTGAAATTCATATCTAAACTATCAAATCTAAATTCAAGCTATTTTTCCTTAAATCCAAACACAACCTAACTGATATTCTTTCAATGAGAGGGGAAACAAGAATGCTTAGGTTCTAAACAAACTGATAATTACTCATGCTTGAAAAATCAAATAAGATTCATTAAAGAATATATGTTTTTAGACTATGAGGAAAAAGGAAGGAGGAGCATAGAGCTCAGAATTGCTAGGACAGAACAAGGAGGTGGAGAAATAGACCTTTAAAACCATGAAACTTCTTCGTTCTTCCTCTTACGATAAAGATCAAAATTAATTCACAATCAAGGTTCAATCACTTTAAACTCTGCATTACTAGCTACAATTAATAGTTTAAAAAAAAAGAAGAAGAAGAAGAAAAAGAGGAGGTTAATTGATGTTCTTTCAAAGAGAAACAGAAAAGAAAAAAAGAAAATGCTTAGGTGCTAAACAAACTGATGATCACCCATGCCTAAAAAACCAAATAATATACAATTAAGTAAATAATTTCCACTATAATTTTTAAAAATATATATATATATATATATATTAGCTTTGATTTATTTTGCAAGAACCAAAGACACTGAAGTCCTACTCAAATATTGGCTCCAATTCGAAACCCCCAAAAAAAAAAAAAAAAAAAAAAAAAAAAAAAAAAAAAAAGAAAAAGAAAAGGGGAAATAAGGAAATGCAGCTCCTAAAAAAAGACATTTCTAGCATTTAAGAGAGAACAAATAAAAAATAAAGGAAAGCACAACAAAAAATGACTATAACACATATCTATTAATAATAAAAAAAAATAAAAAAGACTGATTTGAGTTGATTTTCCAGGGAAACAAACAGTAGAAAGCAGTATTTGCTCGAATTGGTTCCAAATAAATCATTAACAAAAATGAAAATATAGCATCTGCGACGTTACCTCCGTGAATCTCAAAACATGTCCAGCAGCAAGTGCTTGGAAACCAAAGGACCGCCACTTTTTCACAAAAGAAAACGCAGATTTGTGTGATTTTTCTTTTGGTTTCCCCTAATAGAAAGAACATCACTGCGAGTATTTTTTTAATATATTTTCCTGGAAAAATCTGTTGCCCAATCAACAAGCCAAACCCCTTTTCTGGGTAGAAGACCGCGTTTTTCCGGGAAAATACTAGAAAGCTATTTCTTGAAAACGGTAGTGACATGACAGTTGAATTGAATTGACCGTTAACTTTGTAATCACCTTATAAAAAGGGAAAGGAAAAGGAAATCATCATTTATAATTGTCAAAAATCACTATCAAATTTTAATTTATTAAATGAGTAATGATTCATCCCCCTTTTTCATCCACCCCTTTGACCCCTTCTCTCTCTCATTGGTTACCTTTTCTTTTTCTTTTTCTTTTTTTTCCTGCTCCTCCAATCACCCCCTGCCACGTGGCAAAGGGGTGAGGAGGTGACCCCAAAAGGGGGTCCCATGCATTATTCTTATTAAATATTTAATTATTTTTTTTTGATCGGCATTAAATATTTAATTATGCGAGGTTACCTCATTGAAGATCATTTAAAAATGATAAATTAGAAAAATATAAGATCATTGTATAAAAGGGTTGGGATCACTGCTGATCCCGGCAACTCACAATAATTAAGACTATTTTGGCCTTGTTTGGTTTGTGTTTCAGAAAAAATTTTGAGAAAAATTCTCTACAAATAAGTTTTCAAAAGTAATTAAACCAAACAAATTTTTCCAAAACTTGTTTAGTTTACAAATTTTCCAAACAAATCTCTCTCATACACATCAAATCAATCACTTTTTTCAAAACTCCCTCTTAAAATAATTTTTCAAAACATCTTTTGAAAAAAAACCAAACCAAATAAGTTTTCGTACTTTTTATCTCAAAACATGTTTCTCAAATACAAACCAAACAAGCCCTTTATTTCCTGGTGTGTTCCCATCCGGATCCATTTTAATAATATGAAACATTTTATATATTAAATATATCAATTATATATTAAAAATTTAACAATCACTTATTATATGATTATTATTCAAACATATAATAAAAATTAAATTGATAAAATAAATAAATAAATGTCTAAAAAATTTATTAATTTTACATAATTTTATCTTTAGTGGATAGAAATAATTTTTAAAAATTCAAAAATATTTTTTTGACATTTATTTTTGTCAAATTAGATTATATTTTATCAAATTGACGATTTTACCCTTGAAATTGAGCAATAATATCTTCAATTATCCTTATTTAGAATAAGATTTAAAATTCAGAATCAAATGTGTCATAATTGAAAAATCATGAATCAAAATGACATAAGACCCAAATTATAGAAACTGTTAATGTAATTCGCCCAATTTTTTTAAGAAAAACGTTATCTACTCTCCTGATTACTAAAATTTGATTAATTTAATTTTTTATATAGATAATTTGACTGGCAAATATTAGGGAAAATTAGTTTAAGGTCCCTTTCCAATTTTTAATAATGAAAGAGATCCACAATATTATTTTATAATGTCTAAGATCCCTCAACCCCACTCTCATATATCACAAATTCACAGAGAAATTTGAGAAGAAACGAAAGGGCTTCAAAAAAAATATCTTCAAAAAACTAAGCTCTGGTTTCTCTCTTCTCACTCTCTGCTTCTTCTGTCTCTGTCCTACATCAATGGCAGCTGGGTTGGTATCCAATGCCGATTTCTCCGCTGCAAAGTCTCCAGTCGTCAACAAGCCGTGTTGCTTCTGTTTACAGCGAGGTTCAAGGTCGTCCATGGCCCCCATAGCTCCACCGCTCGCGACCTCGACTCTTCCGTTTGCATTGCCGCCACTAATTCTATCTCCTCTCACCTCAGTTTTTAAAGTCATTTTGGGCTTTCTTCATCAGTCATTTGCTTCTGGTTATGCTTTTTCTTATACTAAATTAGCAGGAAGCAATTGCACAGTCTCTTGGGATTGTGTTAGTGATGCTTGAAATATTTTTATTTTATTTCAACACTCCGCAAGGGGATCATTTATCTTCAATTAACTAATCTCTCTTCTCTGTTTTATTATAATGTTTTTAAAAAATTGTTTTATTCAATTCAATCTAATCAAATCTCTTTTTCGATTGTCTTTTAAATGAAATCCAAGCTCTATCTATCTGTAAAAGTTGGGCGTGGAAAACCTGATTTTGAGATGATTAAAGTTATTGCTTTTATGATCCATGACTTGAACATGTATATTGATCACTATATATATATATACATATGCTAGTGATTACAGAAAAAGAAAAAGTAAAAAAAGAGGACAATTTTTTTTGTCTGCACAAAGACACTTCTCTATATTTTTATATAAATGGGTTTTTCTATAGTTTTTTTGTTTATATGCTTAAATGTCACAGTAGAAATTGACTCTGATGATTAGTCCAGAGAAATTTGTGAAAGGTTCAAATGTTTTTTGATGTTAGTTAAGAGATCTAGAGAAATTTGTGAAAGGTTTAAAGGTGTTTTATGTTAGTTCACAGATCTAGAGAAATTTGGTTAACATAAACCCAGAGAAATTTGAATTTTCTTTAGTTTATAAATGTATCCAGAGAAATTTGAATTTTCTCTAGATTGAATCCAGAGATATTCTTTGGGAAGTTCAGAATTTCTTTGGAGAGAATTTCTCTAGGAAGAATTTATTTGGATTGAAATTTCTCTGGATCAATGTTGAGGGATCTTAGACATTATGAAATAGATGCCGAAACTCGAGATGTTGTTAAAGTGTGATAGCTTTAAGGCGAAGCCTGCGCTGTTAATGAAGGGCATCTACAAATATGACAAAAGAAGTTGTTTCTCCTACCAATTTAAGAAATGATTTGAGCAATTTGAGCCCTGATGGTAATTTATTCCAGGAAGTAAGTTCAGATTTTTGTTGGTCTTATCATCATATTTGCACTATTCTCCAAATTAGTAAATTAAGAGGTCACATTTGTTACTGATTTGCTGATTCTACAGGCACAGATGAATGATGCTTCTAAAGTTTTTAAAGCCAGTTTGGGTTTTTTTCATTAGTCATTTACTTCTGGTTCTGCTTTTTCCTATACTAAATCAGCAGGAAGTAATTGCACAGTCTCTTGATGCTTGTATAGCACATACAATTCTTGGAGACTCGTTGAATCAGAACCAGTGGGAATCCATGGTTTGTTTGATTTAATCTGCTATTCCACGAAGGAGGAAAAACTTGTCCATGAATGGCTCTCTCCGTTTTCAGAATCCAAGTCTTTCTCTCTCTCTCTCTCACAAAAAGATTACAACAATTATGTTTTCTTAAATGTCACAGTAGAAATTGGCTCTGATGATTAGTACAGAGAAATTTGTGAGGTTCAAATGTTTTTGATGTTAGTTAAGAGATCCATAAAATTTGATGTTAGTCTAGAGAAATTTGGGAAAGGTTCAAATGTTTTTTTTTTATGTTAGTTCAGAAATGTAGAGAAATTTGGTTAAAATGAACCTAGAGAAATTTGAATTTTCTCTAGTTTATAAATGAATCTAGAGAAATTTAAATTTGAATTTGAACCCAGAGAAAATTGGACAAAATAAACCCAGAAAAATTTGAATTTTCTCTGGGTTGAACCCAGAGAAATTCTTTGGGAAGTCTAGAATTTCTCTGGAAAGAATTTCTCTAGATTGAAATTTCTCTAGATCAATGTTGAGGGACCTTAGACATTATGAAAATATTAAATGCCCTTTATGTTATAAAATCTTAATATCAGGGATCCTACAAAAAAAAACTCCAAATATTACCAGATGAACAATTTAAATAATATATGTGAGTCCACATAATCCAAATCAAGGAGGAGAATAAAAGTTTTCTTTGTAAAATTTTCAGCGGGCAATACATACCGTATGCATCTTATACATGTTACACATTTTTATAACAAATATTAAGTAATCTTCTAGTAGAGCTACAACAATTTGTAATTTAGAAATAAAATTACGCATTTTTATTGTTATGTTACATATTTTTTAATTACGACATGTGTAACATTACCAAAAAAATGCATAATTTTATTTCTAAATAACAAATGATTATTACTTTATCAAAATTTTACATAATATTTGACACAAAAATATATAATATATATCAAAAATATATATAACAAGTGCATAAGGTGCATACCGTAACATTTCCTTCCCAAAAAAATAGGATAAATTACAAATAAACCCCTTAAGATTTGATTAAAATACGAATCGCCTCCTGTAGTTCTAGAAATTACATTTCACTCCCTGAGGTTTCTAATTTCATAACAAATCGCCTATTTTATTAATAAATCATTAAGTCAATTAACAACTTTTAATGATGATCAATAATTTAGGTAATTTTATTATTGTATAGGAGAGCAATTATGAATTTCATTTTTTAGTTAATTCTGTTAAATAAAAAAATTTAACAAGGGGTATTTATAATTTTTCAAACCACAAGAAGCAATCTGCAATTTAAACAAACTTCAAGATGTGTAATTATAATTTACCCAAATATATATATATTGAATGAATATTTGACGGTTTCTTCTTAGATAAATGGACAATCTTGGCCAAAGGAGTAGAACCACCAAGAAGACTTTACCACAAAGTTTTGGTCAATTGTGGCTTGTTTTTTGACTTTGGGCAATTGTGGCACGTTTCTTTACTCTAAACAAATTCCATTCTTTCTGACTTTATCACAAAGTTTGGGACAATTGTCCTAGCGTTCTTTGCAATTGCCTTTTTATTTTATGTTTTTTGGGTCTGGCATGCTTTTTGACAATGTAATACTTTTTTTCAGTGCAAAGGTCCAATTGATTCCAATATTTTTATTTTATTTTTTAGAGGTCTAGTAATGTCTGAACACTTGACCAAGTCCATATCGAAGATGGTCCATGAAATCGAGACTATATTTACCAAGTCCAAATAGGAGATGGTCCACGAAATAGATCATGCATAACCATAAGAGGTGGAATCATCAATAGCGGTTAAACATTACTAACACAAAGTCTATCCCTAAAAGCACACCATATGAGAGGAGTGTGTGGTGTGGTATAGACTTTGGTGTGTTAGTAACACCACTGATGGGCAAAGCCCATTTGCATCCCCTGTTATCAATACATTATTCATTGTGATGAGAACATTTTTAAAAACAGTCATGCTGTCGAGCTCCAATTAGAACTGCTACAGTGCAGCTTTAATGAGCTGTCCACCCATTAAAAAAAAAAAAAAACAGTGAAGTAAAAGACACAAAATGTAGAAATAAAAGACAAATTAGTGCTCCATTAGAAGTCTATTTTTAGAGGTCTAAATCATTTTTGTTTTAAAAAACCCACCTTGGATGGTAGTCTAGTGATAAATCTTACTCTAAATTTTGGGGTAAGTTCTACGGAGATGGAGATTTATTGTGGTTTTAAGCTCGACTTGAGAGAGTGCGTGTGATGACTGTTTGCGGACCCATTAGACTCCATATCTCTCTCTCTCTCTCTCTCTCTCTCTTATATTAGGTTTGTGAGTTATGTGGATGAAACTTACATGGAAGTTTCAGTTGCTCTCAACTTATAGTCTTCTGGAAATGCTGCCTACTTGAAATGGAGTGTTAATAGAATGCTTTATATTTGGCAGCTGAAGTGAGAAGGGAAACATGGAACAGTAAGGCTCTGCCACTTTGGCCTTACAAGAGAGGAGTTATTTTCCACTTTAGGCTTTCCAAATATTGGCCACTATTGTATTTCAACTTTTAAGGTGAGTTTGGTTAGATTGAAAGATGAGAAAAGTGCTGGAAACAGAAAATAAATATAAATAAATAAATATTTCTACGTTTATTTAGTATGGAAGTGGTGAAAAATGTCACAAAGTTAAATTTTGTGTACAACCCATAAATAAAGCCCAGCATCTCTTACTGCCAAATTTCCGCACAATGCAGTTAGGAAATGGAAATTTGCAATCATAATTATTTCGATCTCTCAAACAATCAAGTTAGAGATCCTGCAAGGCATAACATACCAATACCAGCCACGTTATTCATTGGATTGAAGTCATCATGATACATAGATACTGATTTTTCAAGTGTTAATAGATACAACGGGATGAGTACAAATGCTTGCATGCACTCCGAGGGAGCCATCAACGGATGCCTCTCTTGCGAGCAATTTCTCGAGCCATCTCCCTTAGTTCCTCTGGTGAGGGGGGTCTTGGTCCCTCCGGGGGATAGACAACATAAGAGCGCTTCGCCAAAAAAAAAATAGAGGAAAAAGGCATAGATGCTTTAGTTAAGTATCGAATCAAGGATCAACCATTGTTCTTTCCATTTCTGAATCAATATATGATCTCTATGGGTTTATAATAGAAAATCAGATCTGATTAGCCACAATCTGAGGAGTTAAGCTCCTAGGGTTGCAGAATATAATGTATCTTAAAAAAATGAAGGTGATTCCACTTAGAACTAAAATACCCATTTACAAATAACAAGCTGCAAATAATCTAAAAATCACGTAAATAGCTGAAGCATTAAATTTTCAACACAGATTAAGGTCGTTTAAACCATGAGATTAGGATAGCCTGATTGAATTACGGAAAAAACTGATTATCCTAGGCTAAAACTGAGGGAAGGGTGCCTTAGATTCTGTTAATATATATATATATATGATCATCTTTCAGCTTAGATTCTGTTAACATGTCCAAAGAGACCAACTCAAAAAAAAAGGCCAAACAGAAACATCGTTAATTTCAAACATGATAGAACTATTTCTCATTCACCCATCCCATCTTTGTTATCTCAAGTTATAGTATTTGTGAGTATGTGAAGAACCATTTAAGAACAATAAGATATGTTTGTTCTACAAATTGATAATTAGCCCCAAAAAAACTAAAAAAAAATATGAACTTCAAACACAAAAAAAAACCAAGGGATATGTTTGTTCTATGAATTGATTATCCTGCCTCAAAACCCATAATGTCAGTGAACCAAGGGATGAAGCAAACTTGAATAAAACTAATTGGTAATGATGATATCTTTTTTTTTTTTTGGATAAGTAAGTCATATTATAACCAAAAAAGAAAAATATACAATGAAGTTCAACACATAGCTTTTGATGGGAGCACAAAAATAAACAAAATAAACTACTCCATCAAAAAACAAACTAAGCTTATAAGTCATATTATAACCAAAAAAGAAAAATATACAATGAAGTTCAACACATAGCTTTTGATGGGAGCACAAAAATAAACAAAATAAACTACTCCATCAAAAAACAAACTAAGCTTATAGAAAACAAGCACAACATTCCCAACAAACAAGGATTCAGAATTTCCTTCTAGCATTCTTCAAGTCATGAAGTTTCGCTTTAAGTTTTCTTCTGTTATCCTCTTTTGAAGTCTCCCCATAACTAGGATCACTTGGAGATGGACTCCCTCTATTTCTTAACTCTTGACTTGAATCTCCATTTCCTAACTCGTCCATATCACACGATTCAAGGACATCAAAGGCATTAGATGTTGAGGGGATAGAAGACTGCGTCTCTCTCTCTTTGTTGATCAATGGCGTTGAACCTTGCCCACCATCTCTCGCCTTTTTCTTCACCACTTCCCATTTAGTCGGAATTTGTGTTTTAGTGTCCTTGACTCTCCACTCATGTTTGAAGGAGGAAGGGTTCAAAGACTTTGGCTTTTGAGGGCACAAATTAGTGGTATGGCCAAAAGTCTTTCAACCATCACACCTTTGGGGCTTCCATGGTACCTCAACTTGAATCTCATATGGGTCACCATAACCAAGATTTATTTTGAAAGACTTAGGGATCTCTTTATTTGCTGGCACTTCAATACAAATTCTCGCAAACGTAAGTCTGCTTCTCTTGAAAGTTGGCTCATCCAAATAAAGAGGAGTTCCCAAGATACTAGCTATGTAACCCAAACCCTCTTCACTCCAAAGTTCCAAAGGAACATTGTACAACTTCACCCACAATGGCACACTTGCATATTCACACTTTGATAGTTTTAATCCAGTTTGTCATTTTTTAATAACAATCAATCTAGCCCCAACATAATAGCGGCCATCTTCCAAGATTGTGTCCATAGCCTCTTCACTTTTTACTTTAAAAATAAAAAAATCATTGTCAATGGAGACAACGTCCTCAAGCAAATTTCCCCAAAGTTTCTCCGTCCAAGTTTTCACATAATAGAAAGAGAATCTTTTATCAATGAAGTATCCAACCAAAGCATTTTCCCAATGAGAAAAGCCTTTTTTTGAGATCTCTATAGGGACATTGTAAATGCCATCTACTTGGTTCTCAATCTTATGGGCACCTATTTTTCATCTTTCAGCTTAGATTCTGTTAACATGTCCAAAGAGACCAACTCAAAAAAAAAGGCCAAACAGAAACATCGTTAATTTCAAACATGATAGAACTATTTCTCATTCACCCATCCCATCTTTGTTATCTCAAGTTATAGTATTTGTGAGTATGTGAAGAACCATTTAAGAACAATAAGATATGTTTGTTCTACAAATTGATAATTAGCCCCAAAAAAACTAAAAAAAAATATGAACTTCTAACACAAAAAAAAACCAAGGGATATGTTTGTTCTATGAATTGATTATCCTGCCTCAAAACCCATAATGGTTGCTTGGAACCCATTACTTCTTTCCTTTGATCAGCACTAAGTGAGCCAAATTTATTTGACAACATCATTTCGTTTGCCACCAATGGGGACACAGTGGTCAATTTTGGCCACTGCTCAACATCAGCTAGCACTCTAGGGTAATGATGATATCATTATGATTACAACATGCTATTATTCCACATTGAAATCAATTATTCCCCTAAGAATCATCAGAGCAAAACTTCAAAATTGAATGTTAGTTCACTGCTCTGCTTGACTTAAAAAAATCCAATAGCAACAAAAGCACTACCTATTGAATCAAACTAATAATAGGTATTCCTCAAAACATCTTTAAATTTAGCTATTGCAGAAACAGAATCCTCGACAAAACATCAAAATATTGCAATCTAATTATATATATATGTATATATATATAAATAAATAAATAATGAAATCTAGTGAGAGAGAGAGAGAGAGAGAGAGAGAGAGATTTACATTGCCCATGAATTTCTGGATATTCTTGGTGTTGTTGGCGAAGAAATACATGAGACCGATCGGAACTGTGACGTACACTCCGAACTTCACGATCTCCAAAATACCCTTTGAGGTTCCCAGTGAAGACATCTTTTGTTATTCACAAAATGAACAGAGGATTCCAGCTCCAGTGGAACATAAACCCTAGGGGGGAGAGAGAGAGAGAGTCAGAGAGAGATCACTTTCGATTGGACACGTGGAAGCTTCTGGTTCTGGTTCTGGTTCTGGTTCTGGTTCTGCTGGAGAGTGGAGCTCACAGTTGGCTGGGTTGGTCTTTGAAGAAGGATGCAGATCATGCAACTTAGGTTTCGGCCCAGTCGTGATTGGGTTGACGTTGAATGGGCTGGGCCAAGGAGGGAAATTATTCTTTTTTTGGGGTTATGGTTCTGAATTTTTGCAATAGGAATTGCAAAAATCAAAATGGGACACCAAATCGTGTTTGGCCAAGCTCCTCTGTTCCAAAATGAACTTAATCTACACATTGAATTTTAAACATTTATTTTATTTTATTTTTTCTAAGTACATAGCATTGCTGCTTCAAGTATTAAATTGAAGTGGAGAAAAATCCATCTGTGTCGAACATTTGTTTGGCCGGTTTAGAGCTATGTCAGTGCTTGTGTCATGCTAATAATTCAAAAAAAATAAAATAAAATTCATGGTTGTTGAAGGTGAGGTTGAGTCTTGCCAATTCTCTCTTTATTCCATTAAAATATTCAACTTGAGCCATTTAGCTTCTTGTTTGAATTGAATAGTTTACGCTTTCAAGATTAAAAAAAACGGACCATGCGACATAGTTAACGTTAGGGGTTGTTATAGTTCAACAATAAGCAAGTAGAATGAAAGTGATACGCAAATCTAGAATGAAAGTGACCATGCGACATAGCTATTTGACATCTAGTAGTTGTTGGAAAATGGCTTTGCAAAATTTTTATTTTTTGTTAATTTAGAGCATTAATTAAAATGGAATCCAAGCGTTATTTTTAATGTTTCCAATTGGGTTTATGTTTAATGCCGCGTAGTAAATAACATAGTGTATTTGGTTGCTCAAAATCATTTCTGGATGAATGTGAATTCAATGCGCATTTTCGGATTCGTGGAAATGGATTTAGATAGGTTTCCTATACATTTGTGAAATGTGTTTGTCCCACATTGGAAAGACTTAAGGTTTTGAATGGATTTATACACTTTAACTTGGGATACTTGAGGTAGACCCCGAGGAGTATCCAAGTTTGTGGAAGGGTGAAATTATGATCCTAGAAAGTAGACGCCGATTAAAACTCAAAGCACCAAAACGAGAGCAAAATTTACTTTAACGAGATTGTGTCCAACACAAGCCTCGACTTTGATTTCTGTAAACGTTTAATTCGAAATTTAATTTATAAAATTATTTTATTTTATTTTTTATTTTAATTATACATTTAATTTACACACACCTCTGTGAAAAAAGTTGTAATGTCTTGTTATTGGTCCAAGTAGACTCGATCACCAAATTTGGTTTTAATAATTCATAGTAGAATATTATATTTTAAAAACTAGTTGATATTTTTCACCCCCTTCAACATTTTTTTTCAGAGGTAAAATAATACTTCCAAGCATGACGTGTTTGCTAGATGATTGGTCACTAGCAAAAATGGAATAAATGGTCGACAAATAATTAGATTTTCAACTTTGTTCGATTTGATTTAGGAGTAGTTGAGTTATGTTTGAATCCTCAATTTGTTGATGGAAATAAAACTGTTTTTAATTAAAAAATATCAATTTATTTTCTTCTCATGTCCCTAACCTAAAACATAGAAATTTGTTTAGCTTATTTTACCTCATTTTATTTTCTTACATTTACCTCCTCCTCCTCCTTCTTCTTCTTCTTCTTCCTCTTTTCTTTTTTTCTCTACTCAAATTTAATATCCAAACAAATGCCGCGTAGTAAATAACATAGTGTATTTGGTTGCTCAAAATCATTTCTGGATGAATGTGAATTCAATGCGCATTTTCGGATTCGTGGAAATGGATTTAGATAGGTTTCCTATACATTTGTGAAATGTGTTTGTCCCACATTGGAAAGACTTAAGGTTTTGAATGGATTTATACACTTTAACTTGGGATACTTGAGGTAGACCCCGAGGAGTATCCAAGTTTGTGGAAGGGTGAAATTATGATCCTAGAAAGTAGACGCCGATTAAAACTCAAAGCACCAAAACGAGAGCAAAATTTACTTTAACGAGATTGTGTCCAACACAAGCCTCGACTTTGATTTCTGTAAACGTTTAATTCGAAATTTAATTTATAAAATTATTTTATTTTATTTTTTATTTTAATTATACATTTAATTTACACACACCTCTGTGAAAAAAGTTGTAATGTCTTGTTATTGGTCCAAGTAGACTCGATCACCAAATTTGGTTTTAATAATTCATAGTAGAATATTATATTTTAAAAACTAGTTGATATTTTTCACCCCCTTCAACATTTTTTTTCAGAGGTAAAATAATACTTCCAAGCATGACGTGTTTGCTAGATGATTGGTCACTAGCAAAAATGGAATAAATGGTCGACAAATAATTAGATTTTCAACTCTGTTCGATTTGATTTAGGAGTAGTTGAGTTATGTTTGAATCCTCAATTTGTTGATGGAAATAAAACTGTAAAATGATTATTTTTTAATTAAAAAATATCAATTTATTTTCTTCTCATGTCCCTAACCTAAAACATAGAAATTTGTTTAGCTTATTTTACCTCATTTTATTTTCTTACATTTACCTCCTCCTCCTCCTCCTCCTCCTCCTCCTTCTTCTTCTTCTTTTCTTTTTTTCTCTACTCAAATTTAATATCCAAACATTAACATTAATCCAATTCTAATTTACTATATAATATATGTGTGTTTATATATGTTTGTGAGGTATTAAAAAGGCTAGGGTTAGGGAAGAAATTTTAATCCAATTTTATCAAATATCTCCCAATCATGCAATGATATTAGGTGAATTCGCTCTTCGTAGCATTTGCTTACCTTGTTTCTTTAATAAATTCCAAAGTATCTAACTGGTTAAACATTAGTCATTGAATAAAACTTGGTAAAATAATGAGTTTGTCTCCATTATTGCTTTATTTTGTATGAAGCAAATGCAATGACATTGACATTGATGTCATAATTTTCTTATGCTATGTTTATATTTTCGATTCATGAAAAATGAAAATTGAATAGAAAAGGAATGCATATTCATTTTTATGGAATCATTTTTATTTTTTTTTTGAAAAATATATGTTCTTCTCTTCTCATTTTCATAACCCAAACCAAGAGAAACAAAATAATTTATCTTATTTCACTTCATTTGCTTTTCCTATAAAACTCTTTTCTGCCTTCAAATTCAAGATCATGGTAATTCGTGTGTATAATAAAATTAGCCAATTGAATGTAGATGTAGTTAAGAAAGAAGAAAAAAAACTAGAGAAGTTATCAAAAAATTGAAATTTAAAATCAAAATATGAGATAGTGTTGTATAAGAACAATTTGAAAATGAAAATAAGCATGACAAAGCACACGCCAAATTGAATTATACACTTTGTATAATATAACAAAATTGAAAGCACTATGGCTAGAGAGGAAATTTTAAATCTAATTTTGTTAAATATCTCTCAAGATAGTAGTAAGCATTCATTTTCATGATGCAATGATATTACTTGGGTGAAATTAGTCTTAGTAGACATTTGCTTAACTTGTTTTTGTAGGCTGGTTTGGTTTATAGTTTCTTAGTTAAAAAAATTTTAGGAAGTTAAAAAAAAAATTAAAATATCATATTATATACATTAATCAATTTTTTTTTCTCAGGACTATCTATTCAATTAAAATAATTGTTTTAAACACACTATTTTTTTTTTACCTTATAAAAGAAATTTAAAAATTAAAAAATACATAAAAAATCAAGTTGCCAAATTGATACTAATATATTCCAAAGCATCTTTTAAGTAATTAGTAGTTAAACATCACTCATTGATAAAATATTGAGTTCGTCTCCATTATTGGCTTCTTTGGTTGTTTATTTTATACCCAGTACATCATTTTCTATGAAGAAAATACAATGACATTGACATAAAAATCTAATATTCTCTTAGTGGCCCCCAAATGGCCCCTTCACATCCATTTAAATATTACTAAATTTTGATAGTGGTAAAGGCAATAATACAACCAAATCTCTTTTATTAAATAAAAGACAAGAAGGCTACAATAAGATAATGAAAAGCGGTTGCAGTTGTCGTAATGATAGCGATGATATAATTACAGTTGTGTGAATATAAAGATCGTAGCGTAACGGTTGTAGTAATCGGAATAGTAAATTTTTTTTATTTTTTGCATAATTTGAAAAAAAATTACCGATATGCATATTTTTTTTTCCAAAATGATATTTATTGGGTTTTAAAATAACTTTTGATTAATTTTTGTTAATTTTTAAGTATGATCCAATATATTTCATATTTTTAAATCATTACAAACTGAGTTTTTTACATTTTATTTTAATAATTAATGACTTTATATGTGAGAAATCCATATTATAAGTTGTGGCAAAAAAAAATTTATTGAATATAGATGTAAAAAATTCTTTTTTTAATTATTATATTTATAGAAACATATGTAAATTTTAATTTGAATAGTTTTGAAACATAAACTATATATATTAATATAATTATATAAAAATTAAAAAATACGTAATGATTACGGTCAATTTTTAAGAACAGTTATGTCAGCATACAAATAAAACCCTAGCCAATGTGTATGCATAAATTAATTGGACATTATTGCATTAGAGAAACTATTATAAACATTCAACATGCAGGTGGCCCTCATGCAAAGAGGATGATTTTTCCATTAGAGAATGGCTTTCCTCCGGCCTAATCACGGACGGAAGGATACTGTTAGATTTTAGAAGTTTATCATAAGTTCTGTTTCGATAATACGAACTATTTAATATATAGAACTCGTCGAGTATTATATACTTATAAAAAAATCACTTTGATCAGATATCGATAGTTATGTGATCAAATAAGTTTTGTATGAAAAAAATGAACGGTGAAAAATAAACAGCTTATAAAAATATGATTTGATAACATAACTATCGATATTCAATCAACGTGATTTTTTACAGTTATATAGTACTCGACGAGTTTTATACATTGAGCGGTTCGGATTATCAAAACAGGTCTAAAAAATAGATCCCATGGACCGAACTGGACGGGTCCAGTCTTGATCTCAACTTGAGACAAG